TCCTCATCGACGAGACCCCCTCCCACACCGCTCCTCCTCGAAGGCCGCCTCTGCCCGCTCCTTTTGATCGGAGCCGCAGCCCACATCACTCCATCTCCTGGAAGCCACCACCGACACGGTCGCTGGTCAGACCCACAGTCCCCCCCCCCGCCGCCCTAGCCGCTCCTCCTCAAAGCCACCTGTCGGTGACATGGGATCGGGAGTATCATGACTAGAGGTTTGAGGCAGACACAATCGCCCACGTGGCCTGGCACCCTCGGGGGACGTCGGGCCCGAGGGTGATATGTTCGCCCTCCTCTTAGTCCCCCCGAGGGGGTCGGGCTGTACCCCCCTCGGCCCCGAGGGCCAAGGCGCCCCGACCCCTCGTAGTTTTTCGCTCCGCATGTATGGGTTAGGTGAGCACAGTGGGGCTCACCTAACCACATTTATTGCGGTTTGGCTGAGCGTGACACGCCGCATGTAACGCAGTGCAGTGCACTCGTTTATCCGGTCTGTGACCAGTCACAGACCGGTCAGATCGCGGGTTAGGTGGCGACAGGCGGTCTGACGCACGCCTCGCCCCATCCTGTCAGGACGAGGGCTTCTAGGCGCTCGTCCCCAGCTGGAGCTAGCGTGTTACCTCCCAGAGATGGCACGTTAGTCCTGATCAGATATATGCCAGGCTTCATCCTAACCATTACAGGCAAAATGTTGTGTGAAGAAGGGCCAACGTGCAGATTGCTAAGCTGACACGTGGTGGACAAGAATGACCGATTTGTGACCAGTCTGACACCGGTCACGTCGCCAGCAGACAGCCATGATTCCGCGTCGCGCCTGCTCCCGGCGAAAGTGGAGGTAGGTGCGGGCCGTCCCATCAGAAGGTGACTCGAACGGCAACCATGCAAATCTCCGTCCATTTATGAAAAGGTAGGGTAAGTCCCCAGTAAAAAGGGGGGAGGGTGCATGTGGTATCCCCTTAAGATATAAAAGGAGGACCTTGCCCACGAGGGGGCGGGGAGAGAACTTTTTCTTGGACTGGACCTTTCCAGATTAGGAACCCAGAACAAGGGAGAGGCTGGCTCATACTTTGTAGCTTTTTCATACACAGATCTCCCAAAACACAGGAGTAGGGTATTACGCTCATCAGCAGCCCGAACCTGTATACATCGCCGGTGTCTTCTGTGCTTCCTGTCTCGCGAACCTTCCACATACAGATTGGGAGCTTAGAGTCTCACCCAGGGTCCCCGGCCGAACCGGCAAAGGGGGGCCAGCGCGGTCTCCCGGTGAGGAGCCCCACGCTCCGTCACCACCGATGCGTGATGTAGCGTGCACGCGAGAGAGAGAGAGAGGATGGGGAGGGAAATGAATGGTGGAGAGGATAAGGATGGTGGGATGGTGGAAGAGAGGATAAGGATGACTTAGATATTTTTGTAGGCTGAGCAACAGTCAAGATTTTCGCAGGCGGCGTCTTATAACATCCACCAGTAAAAATCTATCTTCGTAGGCGGATGACGGTCTCGCCCCCTGTTGCCACTTTTGTAGGCGGCCATTTTGCTCCTACAGGCCTACCCTCCTGGGAAAAAAATGACATCGTCTGGGAAAATGGTTTTTCTAGGCGTGGAAGATGGCAATTCTGGGAAGGTGCCCTGCTCGGCCGTCAGATTGAGAACGGTTTATATTTTAATTTTCCTTAAATAGTATTCTTCTTAGGCCCTGTTTAGATTCCAACTTTTTTCTTCAAACTTTCAACTTTTCCGTCACATCAAACTTTCCTACACACACAAACTTCCAACTTTTCCATCACATCGTTCCAATTTCATCGAACTTCCAATTTTAGCGTGGAACTAAACACAGCCTTAGTCTACTAGTTTTAATGAAGATTAGATCAGCCAAAAGCTTTCATCTTTTTGTCCTACAGCATATAAATTGATAAAAAAATTAAAAATTAAAAAAAGATATAAAGTTGATTTGATGTTTTTTTATTAGAGTTTGATTTTTTCATTATCTTATAAATTATAAATTATACTGAGAACCCATATATATATATATATATATGTCCTACATATAAATTGTTTTTTTATTACTACTAAGCTATCCGACTTATAATTAGTATTAGACCAACCGATATATATATATATATATATATATATATATATATATATATATATATATATATATATATATATATATATATATATATATATAAGATGATTTTATTTAATCATGTAAAAAACCTTCTCCAAACAATTATGTCTGTGAGATCTTATTTGACATTTGTTATTTTCATATCTCTAAGATTTTTTACATGGTTATATATCCCATTTAACGTGTGAATTTTTTTATTGAACTTATAGGACTTTTTATTTGGTTTTACAGGAGTTTTCACCTTAATTAAGTTTGTTTCCATCACATATTTATTACTCCGGTTAATCTAGTCACGTCAGATTATGTATGGCCTAGGCTGTCGGACGTAAACTATAGCTCCTGCAAAGTAGTACGTTGTGAAAGATCGTTACTTCCAGAAAATGATACGTCAGGTGAGAGCTAGCTACCGTGAGAGTCTGTTTTCTCGTGAGCCACAGGCCAACACTTCTCTGTCCCAAAATAAATAAATATAATATGGAGAGAATAAACACAGGGGTGAAAGCCACAGGACGCGCCTGGCCTCGCCCGTCCAAAATATTCCGCCGTCAGCTTAACTGTAGAGAACTTTTACGGTACAATATACTATCAGTATATACTGGCAGTATATAAAAGGGCATATTAGGAATTTAATAGAAAATAAAACAACACTTTAGTATTTTTTGTTTCAAATTGAATCTAATTGAGAGTACCGGTCCTAGATCTTATCGTGCACTAGGGGAGGAGCATCCTGAGCACCATTTGATGACAAAGCATGTGACGATAGCACGATTTGATGATAGAATAACGAAGAAAAGACAAAATTACCCTTTCAAACTTTATACTGCAATCTAATTAAATAAAAAATTAAATCAATCTACACCGTTAGATAATATATACTTGCAGTATATACTATGCAGTATATTGTATCGTAAAAATCCTCACCCCTAATCAAAAGTTGCATATATATATAGGTCTTTGCCCGTCACCCATAACAGCTTTTCTTTTTTCTTTTCCTTGTAGAACAGTACATTTTCTTAATATCTCATAATCATGTGTGTATATTACCTATACGTCAATATTAGATGACTGACATCTCAAATTTCTAAAATATTACTTAATATACTTTCAAGACAAGATAGTTTGTTGCTCATTTTGCTAAGATCTAGTTTTAATTTTTCTAATTGTTGCCTAGTTATCTATTTTAGCTTGGATGATATTATCACCGCTTAAGATCGGTTTGCTCCGCATTCTTAGCGCTAAATTGAAATAAACAAACTATAGCAATATACCTATTGTTCTTTTGTGTTATAATGTTCTTTTTACATTGATACTATGTATTATTACCTACGAAAAACACTTAAAATCTGCACATAATTTTAAGCTATCGTTGTTTAATTATAATCGTGATAACTTGTTAATAAGTTGATCCCCTCATATTAAAATCGTGGCTTCGCCACTGAGTAGTACACAGCTAGCCTACAGTGACAGTCAGTGGTCACTGAGATTAGTCATGACCGTCTTCAAACAAGTATGGGCCAGCATTCAGTTCATTCGCATGTGACACAAGTTATAGCTCCTCCAAATATCAACCCTCCGTAAAAAAAAACCAACCTAAATGAGAATGTCGTACACAACGTAGTACAGCGGGCGGTGAGCACGTTCTGAAGAAAGATCGTTTTTTAGCAAATGATACGTGATCGTGAGAGGCTGAGAGGTGCAGTGAGCCAGTGACAGCCTGCACGGTTTTCTCGCGAGGTACGAGTCTACTCCTACATGCACATTGCACAATCAGTGGTCACAATGCAAGGTCCAGCATTCAGTTCACTCGCATGTACTCCCTTCGTATGTAAATATTTATTTGACGCCGTTGACTTTTTAAAATATGTTTAACCGTTCATCTTATTCAGAAAATTTAAGTAATTATTAATTCTTTTCCTATCATTTGATTCATGAGAAAATCCCCTATGTACCCATAAAAGTTCACCTAATCCCTTCTATACTCCTGAATTTTGCTCAATCCCTTATATACCCCTGAATTTTAGTTTGGATCCTTCCATGTCCTTTCCGCTAGTTGACCGTTAGTTGACTGTTAAATTCTTTTTAAAAAGTCCATTCTGCCCTTTGCTATGAAGAAACATAATAAATTAATGAAGTATATTGTTGGAATGTAAAAATTTATTGGATGAGACTATTATATTTATGAGTATGTGATGCACCATATTATTTGTGACAAATTTACTTTTACATATGATATAAAAAGTTAATACTTATTTATTAGTTATTAAAAGTACTTTTATGTAGCATATGTGTTTTCATAGTAATACAACATATTTATTTATTACTATCAGAACACATATGCTAAAAAATTTTTTAATAACTAATAAATAAGTATTATTTTTTTATATCATATCTAAAAATATATTTGTCGCAAATAATATGGTGCATAACTATCTCATAAACATAATAGTCTCATATAACAAATTTCTATGCTTCAACAATATACTCTATTAATTTATATGCTTCTTTATATCAAAGGGCAAAATAGACTTTTTTATAAGAATTTAACGGTCAACTAACGGTCAACTAACGGAAAGGGCATGGAAGGGATCCAAACTAAAATTCAGAGATATGTAAGAGATTGAGCAAAATTCAGGGGTACAGAAGGGATTAGGTGAACTTTCAATGGTACACAGAGGATTTTCTCTTGATTCATTGTTAAATATACTTATATGTATACATATAGTTTTACATATTTCACAAAAGTTTTTGAATAAGACGAACGTTAAATATGTGTTAAAAAGTTAACGGTATCAACTATTTAGAAACAAAGGGAGTGTGTGCTTGGCTGTGAGATCTCGCCCTATAAATACCCACCCCCCACTGCACAGGGAGAGAGCAAACCACGAGCAACGAACTCACCTGCAAATTAAGCCAGGTAATAAAACTTGCCGTGAAAATTAAGCTGAAAATTAGCTGATCGATCGATCGCCATGGACGAGCTCTTCTACCAGTCGCTGCTGCTGTCGGTGGCGGCCGTGACGGTGCTGCAGCTGCTGAAGCTGCTCCTGGTGCGGCATCGCCGTCCCCGGACGCCGCCGGGGCCGTGGCGGCTGCCGGTGATCGGCAGCATGCACCACCTGGTGAACGTGCTCCCGCACCGCAAGCTGCGGGAGCTCGCGGCGGTGCACGGCCCGCTGATGATGCTGCAGCTCGGGGAGACGCCGCTGGTGGTGGCCACCTCCAAGGAGACGGCGCGCGCGGTGCTCAAGACCCACGACACCAACTTCGCGACGCGGCCCCGGCTGCTCGCCGGCGAGATCGTCGGCTACGAGTGGGTCGACATCCTCTTCTCCCCCTCCGGCGACTACTGGCGCAAGCTCCGCCAGCTCTGCGCCGCCGAGATCCTCAGCCCCAAGCGCGTCCTCTCCTTCCGTCACATCAGGGAAGACGAGGTACGTAAAACCATGCAAAACCACATGATTTACAATATAATACCTCTCCTAATGATTTCAAAATTATATGTTTGTAAAGGACTTCCAATGTCGAAACAATAATAATTTCTAATTTTTGTTTGTGCACGCTGCTACATCAAACAAACTGTCAGATTAATAACTGTTTAGAAAGGCGACATAAATTCTGTGCGAGTACATTATTAGATCGAAATAATTGTAGGTGATGATGCGTGTAAACGAGATCCGCGCGGCGGGGCCGACGACGCCGGTGAACCTGAGCGTGATGTTCCACAGCGTCACCAACAGCATCGTGTCGCGGGCGGCGTTCGGGAAGAAGAGGAAGAACGCGGCGGAGTTCCTGGCGGCCATCAAGTCCGGCGTCGGCCTCGCCAGCGGCTTCAACATCCCCGACCTCTTCCCGACATGGACGGGGATCCTCGCCACGGTCACCGGCATGAAGCGCAGCCTCCGGGCCATCTACACGACGGTGGACGGCATCCTCGAGGAGATCATCGCCGAGAGGAAGGGCATCCGCGACGAGAAGATCAGCGGCGGCGCGGAGAACGTCGACGAGAACCTCGTGGACGTGCTCATCGGCCTCCAGGGGAAAGGTGGCTTCGGATTCCACCTTGACAACAGTAAAATCAAGGCTATCATCCTGGTACGTAGGCCACTTGTCAGGACACAGTGTAACTCTTTTTTTAAAATTAATTTAATAATGAAAATAATATCCAACTGTTATAATATTTACTCATGCAGGACATGTTTGCCGGAGGAACGGGGACATCGGCGTCGGCCATGGAGTGGGGGATGTCGGAGCTGATGCGGAACCCCTCCGTGATGAAAAAACTACAAGCAGAAATCCGCGAAGTGCTCCGAGGGAAGGCGACGGTGACCGAGGCCGACATGCAAGCAGGCAACCTCCGTTACCTGAAGATGGTGATCAGGGAGGCGCTACGGCTGCACCCACCGGCGCCTCTTCTAGTGCCGAGGGAGAGCATCGACGTGTGCGAGCTCGACGGGTACACGATCCCTGCCAAATCACGCGTTATCATCAACGCGTGGGCGATAGGACGCGACCCCAAGTACTGGGATAATCCTGAGGAGTTCAGGCCAGAACGGTTCGAGGATGGAACCCTCGACTTCACGGGAAGCAACTATGAGTTCATCCCTTTCGGCTCTGGCCGGAGGATGTGCCCCGGTTTCAACTATGGCCTCGCAAGCATGGAGCTCATGTTTACGGGTCTTCTCTACCACTTCGACTGGTCGCTACCGGAGGGTGTAAATGAGGTGGACATGGCGGAGGCGCCAGGCCTCGGGGTTCGCCGCCGCTCGCCACTGATGCTGTGCGCCACCCCGTTTGTCCCTGTGGTCTCTGCCAATTAGTTCCATCTATGCATGCTGTGTTGCATGTTTCAGCGCAACCAAAATAAAATGAAGATACTCCCTCATTCTATAATATAATGTCTTATATTTTCGTATGGAGGGAGTAATACGTACGTTTACGTAGTAATATGCATGTGCATTTTTATTTCAATTATGGCCTGACCACGGTGTGTGTATATATCTCCATCTACCTATGCCACGTTTATATTTGTATCTCAAGCTAGTCTGTATGATTTAATATCCATCTGGATTTGAAGTAAGAATGGGAATTTCAATTAGTCGTTAATGAGTTGTTTTGTACGTGTAATTTAGTTGCTACCTTCTCACTACTGACTTTTGCGGACTTGTTTCCACAGCCACAGGAAAAATTGAACCTATATACTACGTGTTGGCCCAAAAATATGAAAGAACTAAATCCCCGGCAAAAACAATGACATATTTTTTCTTGCAATGAGCATGTCCATGCATGATAAAATAAAGGATCAAATAACAGCATATGTAGCGTATACCAAGTTTATTCCCATGGGGAAAAAGCCAGAGCTAGTAGCAGCGGCTGGTTCCATTCTTCTCTCTCATCCTTTTTCCTTCAATCCCAAAGATGTGGCTAGAGTAGAGTTTGGAGTGGGTTGTTAGGGGTGGGTTTTAGGGGATCTTAGCTGTACACTACTGGAGAAACCATCTTTCGTGGGTTAGCCAAAATCCACAATAGTCCCGGTTTAACTAAAAACCAGGACTAAAAACCATTTTTAAGTCCCGATTGATATTACTAACCGGAACTAAAGTCTTTAGTCCCGGTTCTATTTGTGTCAGACGATGTTAGGGCGCCAAGGACCTTTAGTCCCGGTTGGTGTTATCAACCAGGACTAAACATAGATCTTTAGTTCCGGTTGATATCTCCAACCGGGACTAGATATCTCCCTCCCACGTCTTAACTTGATCAAACCAGAGACATGAGACTTATCTCTTAGCGCATATATAATCCTTATCCCTGATCTCCTCGTCAAAACCAATCCTTATCTCCTCGTCGAAACCGATCAAGCTAGTGCTTCTCCTCGCGTCTCTTCTCTCGCTGTCTCTCTCTGTCCTGTTTCTCTCGATCTCTCGCAGCGGGGTCAGCGGCGGCCGCCGGGCAAGGGCGGAAGCGGCTGGGTCGGGGAGGCGGCGGGAGAAGTAGCAGCAGCTGCCGGGCAGGGGAGGCGGCGGTGGGCCGGGGAGGTGGCCGGAGTAGCGGCATCGGCGGCCAGGCTAGGGAGGCTGCGGGAGAAGCAGCGGCAGCCGCTGGAGGAAGATTTGTTTTTTTTGGATTTGAGATGAATTTGTGATGTATTTGATCTGTGTGTGATGTGAATATGTGATGTATTTTTTAGAATTTGTGATGTAATTTTTTTGAGAATTTGTGATGTATTTGGAGATGATCGATTTGGGGATCCTTTTGTTCTGTGATGGTCGATTTGGGGATGTAGTGAAATCAATATTCAAAGTTAAAAACAATGAAAAAAAGAAACTGGACCGGGCCTGGCTCCATCTTTAATCGACTAAAAATGGATTTTTATTCCCGGTTATTACAACCGGACTAAAGATACCCATCTTTAGTCCCGGATTCGTGGCCCCGGTTGCACAACCGGGACTATAGGGGGTTACCAACCGTGGGTAAAGCCCCTTTCTCCAGCAGTGGTAGTTTTCTTGTTTGCCTAGCAAGTGGCCGGTCTAGTGCTAGCCTTCTCCCGAGTCGGTGTACTAGTGCTGTCGGTACGTGCACTACTACAGAACATCAAATAGATACTGGCACTATAGGTGATGGAAGTGCTAAAACCGGCACCTATAGGTCTTTTCCTGCCTCCACGGGCTAAAACTACAAAAAAAAACCAGCATCTTTAGATAACTCTAGGTATCGGTTCTAAAGAAAATCCGACACCTATACTATACTATAGATGTTGGTTTTATTGAAAAAACAAAACCTTTAATTTTTTAAAGATGTCGGTTTCCTAAAATACTGACACCTATTATAACCGAGCTGAGCCGGGTGGAGACAAGCCAGCCCGGTGGGTGTTTTTTATATCTCTCAATACTGTCTCTCTCTCTCTCCCTCTCTTCTTCTCCACCTTTCACCGGCTCTCTCCCACTCTCTCTCCCTTAACTTATCTCTTCTTCTTCTACCGGCTCTGTGGTGGTAGGCGGCAGGCTCGCCGGGGTGAGGCAGCGGCGGTAGGTGGAGGAGCCCTCCCCTCCGCCAGGTCCGGCGGGAGGAGAGGCGGCGGTGGACGCGGGGGGCTCGCAGATGGAGGTGGTGGCGGTCTCGCTGGGGCAGGTGGTGGCAGGCGGCGGTCTCACCGAGGGGAGGCAGCGGCAGCAGGCGGAGGAGCGCTCCCCTCCACCAGATCCCGCGGAAAGGAGGCAGCGACAGGGGCGGCGGAGCTCACGGATGGAGGCGGCGGCAGGTGGCGGGCTCACCGAGAGGAGGCGGCGTGACGAAAGGTGGCGTGACGGCTCGAAGACGATGACTACGACGGCGGCTACGTGACCGTGCGATGACGATGCTGGTGGGACAACGACAGAGAGGTGTGAAATGTTTTTTTTTTATTGCCAATATGTGGGATGAATTTGAGGGTCAAAATCTATGTTGGGATGAATGGATTGGTATGTGGATGAATCCATCTGTGTAATTTTTTATTGGCAAGATCTGGGATGAATTTGAGTGTCAAAATTTATGTTGTGGATGAATCCTTATGTGGATTGGATATGTGATAGATAGATAGATGATGATAAGCTTGTTCTTGCTGTGGTGTGGATGGATGTGGGAGGAGGGACTGCTCGGCTCAATGCATTGGCTTGTCGTGACGAGCCGATGAATCGAGCCAGAATTTTTTGTTTTATGGAACCTTAAAGGTGTCGGTTGTTAAACCGGCACCTATTTCTTTTCATATCAGTGTCGCCTCCGTGGTGTCGTTTGGGAGAACTGACACCTAAGGGGGTTTTCCAACCGGCGATTATTTGTGTTTCTGTAGTAGTGGTGGGAGGTGGCTATTTTTCTTCGATTTTCTAGTTACGATCTCCTCCAGGGGTGTAATCTTGTGTTCTATTAATATAAACTACGCACTATCTGGTACGAGTCGTTCAGAAAAGAAAAATATAACGTGGTCATGAATCAGACCACGAACATTACGCACGTTTGTGTGCGTACGTTGTCATCACTATATGACATAAACTGCAAGGACAGTGATTTTAGATCTCTAAGGACTCTAAATAAGTAGCATATGATTTCTAATATACTAACAACATATATATACACGAAAAAATGCGTAAACAATTAAAAGCTAGCTAGCTAGTGAGCGACAAAGTAAAGGAATACAGCCAAAAAACTCGTGTATTAATCAGATATGACGCATTCTGTCACAAAGCAATGTAGAGATAATGATTTCATGATAGGAGTATTATACCCATTGGGCACATTAATAATATCGAAGCGGACGAATTTTCCCGGCAAGTGATTATTAAACAGCATACTATATATGAATGTGCCCATACTTTCTTAGTTTCAGAAAAGAACAACATGATATCTGGGCTGTCAGCGTCAGGCAACATGCAACAAGGTGGAAATGCTTTGTCTGCTACAGCCATGTCAGCAAACCAGGATGCAGATTGATGCTCTGAGATTTCCAATGACATTAGGGCATGTATAATATGGTGTCTAATAACAGGCTTTCTTTATTGTCATATAAGTAAATTTAGTGACATGGAAGAAAGAGATGGAATTAATGAGAAACATCGTTACTACGCGTGACAACAGCTCAAAGTCAACTCTTAGCATTTATTAACAGAAAATTTGTTGCATGAGGGTGGAGAAAAGGAAAGAAGTATAATAAAAAATTATTTAGTGCATTAATGGTTTAGAAATCTTATTGTCCCTACTATTATACGAGGATAGTGTCTAGTTATATTAATTAGTATAGAGAGCTCATATTAGACTCTACCTTTGTACATGTCTAGTTGGTGGCAACCAAATGGCCTGTTAATATTGCAAATCTTTCATAGCCATTACTAGTGGCTGCAATTTCGGAATGAAATTTCCAAAATTTCGGCAATTTTGGTTCTGACCGGCAAGCATATATCTCTCCAGAATTTTTTGTTTTTTTCTAAATATTGCGAATTTGATCAAAGTTTATAGAACTACTATTGGGAGCACTGTGCGCTCCTATATTCCAAGCGCCAAACGTGTATCAGCTAGGCCCACCTCACCCCAAGCTCCATCATCCCGCTCCCACCGTTATCGGAGTAAACGATTTACTTCGATAAAAACAACTTCTCTGATTACGATCCCACCCCACATCCCGTCATACTACTCCTACCGTTATCAGAGTAAACGATTTACTTCGATAATAAAAATAACTTCCCTTTCGATCCCACCCCATGTCCCGCATCGTGCTCCCACCATTATCGGAGTAAATGATTTACTCTGATAAAAACAACTTCTCTACTTCTGGTATATATTCTATTTTTCTCATACCCAACCAACCACTCTTGCCCCCACTTCATTTTTTCTTTTTTTTCGGGATCTGAATCGATCCACCATCCCTGCCCACAGATCGGCGACGCACCATGGAGGAGGACAACGACACCGTGGCAGTTGATGGCGGTGGCTGGCGGCACTTGAGGCGAAGGCACTGCTTCAGGCCTCACTGTCGCAGCATCTGCTTCAGATCGATGCTGAAGAGGCATCTGGCCCATGGCGAACGAGGTGGACGTCGTGGGGACGATAAGTTCTCTCAGCAATTCCTATTGAGATTCTTGATTTCTTCCAAGAATTGTATACAATCTATGATTCATTAAATTCTTTATCCTTCTTGATTCTATGCAGTCTGACTTCGATTGGGTTGAGCACTCATCTTGGCGTGCTTCTCTATTCTCCCTTGCATGGCAGATATCCTGTTTGTGATGGTCAATCGATTTGGTAACATCCGCAAGAAACTGTGATTTGTTTCATCACTTCTGTTGTTGCCCAGTTTATGACAGTGAGGCGGTGACAATAGCAACGATGACCTCCATCTTTGGCTTCGTCCCCGGATTCGGCTCCTACCAAGGTCACAGCGGCCAGACTTGGTGCTGCCTCGGCTCCGGCCTGCATCTCTGCCGCTTTGTCTTCTTGCTCTCTCTAGCAGGCAGAAACTCCATTCAGCCGTCATGAGGAACTGGCGATGGCGTATATTGTTGTGTTTGTGTGTAAAATTTTTATTCTTGTGCTTTTACTATGATGTGCATGTAAAATCTTTATTTTTTGTCCCATGATTT